AAAGAAACAAATGCCACGGAAAGCATGTTTATGGAGAAGGGCAGGGGAAACTATTCCCCAAAACATATTCATGGATTATTTGATAAAGTCAGGCTAGAAGAACAAAGAAAAGTAGTCAATAAATGTCATGCTCTAAAACTGAATTTTTACAGATAGTTTTCAGCATGATTTTTCTATGTTTCACTTTTTACCGTCAGCTGTGAGCTGTTTCCAAGTGTGAAATTGCCTAAGAGAGGAAGCAAAGCTGTCATTTGACATCTGGGAGCATGGAGATCGGGCTGTAGTGAAAAGCCTTTTGGACTTCTTCAATTTACACATATATGCACCTATAAATCCTCAAGTCTGAAAAGTATTCAATGACAAATATCAATGTAAATTTCAAGCATTTCAAATTAAAGCATCTGGGAGCATGGAGATCGGGCTGCAGTGAAAAGCATTTTGGACTTCTTCAATTTACACATATATGCACCTATAAATCCTCAAGTCTGAAAAGTATTCAATGACAAATATCAATGTAAATTTCAAGCATTTCAAATTAAAGACTCATAATGGGGCAGAAAATAAAAGTGAAGGACACATACTGATAGGATATCATATTAACTTGTTCAAAACTAGAATGAGAAACTTAAGTGACTATATTAGGTTAACTAACACAAATAATTTTATGCACTTGTCTCAGATCGTATATTAAGCTTTCAAATATCATTTTCTTATATTTTTGCTTAAGAGACAAGGTCTTGCTATATTGCCCAGGCTGGAGTGCAGTAACTATTCACAGGCATGATCGTAGCACACTGCAGTCTCATATTCACAGCCTCAAGCAATCCTCCCACCTCAGAATCAGTTTTCCTTTTTGTATTTTATATGCTTAGTAGTACAGGTTCTATTTTCTAGCCGTTTTTGAATGATAAGAGTCAAGAAAAAAAAGTGGTAAAAAAATACTTTCTTGACATTTTATTTTTCCTTTATGCTTAAAACACTATAACCAAAGGTTTATTCTTTATCATAAGTTAATAAATCAAATGATAAAGCACATAAAATCTTTTGGCTAAAACTTTTGTGTTTATGTGTGTAAAAACAGATATAAAATCAGAGTAACCAAAAGAAAGTCCTCCAGAGAAAAATAACCAATTTACTCCAGTTTTCATTCTCTAATCTCTCACAACAAAAAAATAGAAGAACCTGTGTAAAAGTATCCTAATAAAGTATCTAAAAGTCTCCTAATGTGGAAACCAGACAGTGTTATATTTACATTGTCATACTACACAATCTGTTCCTACTTTGTGGACTATTTCTTTTGCCTTTTCTCTTCCTGAACTCCATTCTGTGTTTCTGTGGTATGAAAGGAACCCATTTACCATGAATGATGTTTATTTAAAATAAAACCTTTCTAGAGAATCATCCTAGATAATCTAAGGATACAAAGTGAACCTAAAAGGAATGGCTTCTACTTTGAAAACAGGGCTGGGTTTGATCAGTGAATTCGTATTCTCAAGACCCTCTTGATGGGTCTGCAGCTGCAGCCATTTATGCGCTGGCTTTTTCACAGATGTAGACAGAGAAAGCTCCGTGGTTTTTGTCTTTTTGTTGTTGGATTTGTTTTCTTTAATATAAAAAAGTGGCAACTTTTTAAAAAGTTCTCAGTTTTGTTATAGACACTTGTGAATCTTGGGCATCCTTGGGAGTATACATTGTTGAAATAATTACGACTTTTTAAAATCTAGGATCACAAAGTTGGCAGAAACTATACTTAAATAACAGAAGGTGATCATTTGCATTTCAAAATTTATCTGTCTTGCTTTTCCCCTCAATTAGACCAAAACATGTTGATTCACAGGTTTCTGTGTGTGTGTTTTTTCTTTTTTAAACTTATTTATAGAGCAGAATAATGGCCCCCCTGCTAGTTTGGCATTTGCTCAAGTTTCTGTCCATGCAAATTGAATATGTTACTGGAAATTTTTCTCAAAATATAAAGGCACATCATCCACAAGATAAAAAGATACACTGCTGATATTATAAAGTACAGGGCAGGTGGATAATGTTTTCAGGACAAATATGTGATAAGGATTCCCAGGAGGTGAAGTGGCAGGGTAGAGGGTGCACACTGTTTAAACAGAAGTGAGTTGCTCTCATCGTAATCTTGTGACAACTTTTCTTTCTAACCAAACATCAGCTGCTTAACATGCTTTAGAGTTACTTGGACAATAATATTAAGGTTAGACCTGGGAAGTAAGAGGGAGGGGATCATATGAGAGGAAATTACTTCAACTCTTGGTGTTCCTAAGGGTAGATCAAAAGGTGGTTAAACAATCTATGTCCCATGTAGTTACTGATTTGTATTTTTAAGCACTGAAATATTAACATATTAGCATTGCTTCCATCCTTCGAGGAAAGGAAAACCTATTTGTAGTTTTGATTTATCAGTAGCACTGCTATGAACTTTTGGGGCAAACAGTAATTCACAAATTTTTGCTCTAATTCCCCTTGAGTTGTAAGTGAGGGGTGCGAGCACATTGACTTAACCGAGTTCTATAACTCTCTAGATTTAAGGTCATCTTAATTAGAACACTGGTGTTACTTTTCTGTTAAGGCCATTACTTGTTTTGTTTTACCTAGTTGCTAAAATTAACAGGCCCAATGAATGGAAAGCCTTTCCACATTGTTCACAAAGCATGCCATAACACTAGAACACTTTTGCAACTCACAAAGCTTGGAAGCACAATTCTTTTATGCAAATAATGACAACAAAGCACCTCTTCAGACTACAGCTTTTTTCAAATGCTAGTGAAGGACAACCTGGAAAAGGACAGCAAAATCCATTAATGGTAGACTGCCACCTGCTGGTCAACTAAGAGAATTGTAATTTCTGGGACAAGGCTTAAAAATTAGAACTTAGAAACTGATCTGTATTAAATTTGGTTTATTCCAGTATATGAAATTGAAAGTGTATATCTGTTGATGAATGTAATATGGTTCTGTTCTACACATATTAAAACTCTCAGGATACCAACATGTTATGGACATTAAAGTAAATCTGACTGTGCTTGAGAATAAAGAAAAATAATCTGCTATAATGCTCAAGCACAAATTTACAGATAGTTTCCAATAAGTAACAATATATACACTTACTAGGAACCAAGGGAAAAAAAGGAAAGTAATAACAAAAATAAGAAATAAGGGCTACTTACAAATATTAAACAATATTCCATAAATGTTTGGTTTTGTTATATAGTTACCATCAGACTTCACTTTAGGATGTAACAGGCTTGATTCAAAAAAACTCCAAAATTAAGTTTGATCCTAAAACTTTCAAATTCATTATAATTAACAAATATATTTCTAAGTACATTGGAACCTAAAATGTTATTTCTTATCAAATTAGAAAGTGGGGAGGATCTGGTTTTTTCTTAATCAAGTAACTGTAATAAAGTGAATTCAACATGGAATTTTTTATCCTATTAACTAATATGATTTCAAAATATAGCATCACATTATCTATCTGAGAAAAAAAATGTAGGTGTGCTCTATTGTGTCTAAGAATAAATAAAAACCAAACAGTCTTAATTTGAAGGAAGAAGGAGGAAAGAAAACAAAACCCTAACAGTTGCTTTCAGGAACGTTTTGGGATATTTTTTTATAGGCTGGAAAACTTTGGTATTCTCTACTGCGGAAATAATTCTTAACAATGAAAGTTGTAACTAGAAACAATCTAGCTCTTCTAATCCTTATTATCGTTACTTCCCATTATGCAGAGAAACACGGTTAGCATCAGTACATTAGTTAGCTGGTAAGTATTAAATACTATATTGATCAACACCTAAGCAGATTATGTCAAAAAAATCAGCTTGAAACTCCTTTGAAGGCCAATGGGGTGACAGGTGAAGTGACTCTGGCCATCCAAAGAGGCTAAACGGTAAGCAAAAGGTGAACAAACTTTGGATTCATAACACAGCCCCATCTGCACTGATGACTAAGAAAAACCAACTCAAATGCAATTCATATGCTTACGCTACCTATAATTGTCAGTAAAAGATCTAATAAATAAATTTTGCTTTATTTATTAGAATAAATCTAAATTTTTAGAATAAATTATTAGAATTATTATTAAATAAATCTCTAATTTTTAAAAAATAAAGACAATACAGTAAGGGCAAGATAAAACTGTTGTGTCTACAAAAATCTCTTATAAAATGCCAGGTTGGCACATCACTAAAATCATATTGCATTTTTAAAACCTCCATTTTGCCAGGTACCATGGCTCATGCCTGTAATCCCAGCTATTCCAGAGGCTGAGACAGGAGAATTGCTTGAGGCCAGGAGTTCAGGACCAGTCTGAGCAACACAGCAAGGCCCTGTTTCTACAAAATAAATAAATAAATAAATTAGCCAGGAGTAGTGGCATGCACCTGTAATCCCAGCACCTTGAGCCCAGGAGTTCTAGACCAGCCTGGGCAACACAGAAAGACCTCATGTCTACAAGAAATGCTTTAAAAAAAATTAGCCAGGCATGGTGGTGCACACCTGTAGTCCCAGCTACTCGGAAGCTGAGGCAACAGGACTGCTTAAGCCCAGGAGTTGGAGGCTGCAGCGAGCCATAACAGCACCACTGCATTCCAGCCTGTATGACAGAGTGAGATACATCTCAAAAAAAAAAAAGAAAGAAAGAAAGAAAAAAATCACGAATCTAAAGAGGCTCAGGGTATTTAAAGGTCCCTGTAAACACTAAGAAGCTAAGACATTTCTAAGAATTCACTGCAGTTCTTAGTGAGATATAAACTCATTTAACAATAATAAATATATGGACACACACACACATATATACCTATGAATTACTTAATTGGTTCAGCCCCAAATTTTCTTTTTTTGAAGGGTTAAACAGATAACCCAATCTAACACATATGTAAACTGCTAGTGAAAGATACAAAAATACAACTTCTATAAAGAAATGAGAGCTGCCGAATCACTTTTTCAAGTGAAACATTTTAGGAGATTGCTCTAACCTGGGGCACAGTACATTCTCTCTATGGCATCGCTGTCACAGGAATCTTCAACCTCACTCCACCTGCTAAAATACGTTAGCTGAATGTGTCCTAAAAACAAAACGACAGGAGAAATCAAAACATTTTTCTCTTCCATTTTCTGCAGAAGTGAACTGTAATTACTCCTTTTGTAGCTAAAAACAGTATCATTAAGAATAATGGCATCATTAAGTACTAGAAGCTATTACTGGGGGTGAATTTGCTGCACTGATAATGAAGCTCTAGACAGGAAATGAAGATACTAATTACAAGATAAAACGCCTACTCAGTTAATTGGAAGCAACAGCGAATAAAAAGAAATGCATTTGCAAAAGTTCCTGACCTCTATCATTCAATAAGATGTTGTTTGGGTTCAAATCGCGGCACACAATTCCCTCTCTATGTAAAGCATCAAGGGCTACCACCATTTCAGCTGCCCATCTTTGAATGCAGCCCTCTGGGATGTAAAACCTGGAGGTTAGTGCTAATTTTTTATCAAGGTCCTCAAAAATCTGATGGATTTCCTTGTCTCCTTCTAGCGCTAAACCACTTTCTCCCTTAGTCTCAGAGTCTCTCTGGAATAAAGAAGTTGGTTCCTCTTTAGCCAAATCATCAGTCTGATCTGTAAACAGCAATACTTCTTCTGTTTTTAAAGTGTCTGTGCTTGCCATATATTCATTAGCACCTGAGAGTGGACTACAAATATGGAATAAGCTTTCTTCTGTGTTGTTTGCAGTTACTGCTGACTCAACCACTCCAAGTCCCTGAAACCTAGGATCTGAGTTGGGTAACAAAGACATATCTCCTGAACTACTATGATCAACAGCTGCTACAAATAACATCCTGGGATCGTCCTGAGCATAGTGTTTCTCTGTTATCCTACGAGATTTGGGCCCAGAGGGATCACTCAGTTCCTCCATGCCTTTCTCCTCATGTGCTTGGCATTGTTCAGTACTAAGTCTGAGGCATAAAACATCAGGGGCTTCCAAGAGTTTGTTTTCTATTATCCCTATATTGGTTTGTGTAAACTTAGTAGGTCCCATTGCTGCAGCTTCTTTTGTTGGCTCCAATTCACCAGGTAAATTGACAAGAAGATCAGGTCTTCCTTCATCAGTACCACTGACATCATCAAAAGCAGCATCTTTAAATGAAATAACTGGCACTGAGTCATCTGAGCCCCTGCTAATGGTGTCCTGAGCTTTAAACTCTATCTTGCTTTCACTAGTATTAAAACTCCTAGAAGCACTGTCTCCATCTGGAAGAGTAAAGAATGGTTTCAAAGGTTCTGATTTTAGACTATACAATTTTTCTCCAAAGTCAAGTCCCAGGAGTTCACTTGCGCTATCCTTACTGTCTATCCTAAAGAATTCCATGGGGCTGTTTTTTGATCTACTGAGGGAATCTGATGTTCTTGGAGAACTAACTGCTTCTGGGTCATCGTTGGGGAAGAACTTCAGCTCGTGAGCTCTCAGCTGTGTGCTGGGGCTGTCGCTGTCAGCGGCAAGGTGTGTTGGGAAGCTTTGAATAGCTTTAGTATCAACACCATACCCTTCAGTCTTCATGAAGGGCTCCTCATTCAAAGACCCTGGTTCAATCTTTTCTTGCCCATATTCATTGCATAATGTTAAATAACTAGTAGTACATTCTTCTTCTGAACTCGAACCAGAATCTGGCCACTTTGGAGAGCTATCTTGGCCATCATCTTCCTGGTTGCTGTCATCTTGAGAACTTGGAGTAAGACTACTCTTCAAAGGCAGAGCTCTAAGCACGCTTCCACCATCACTTCCTCTGGATTCAAAGCTACTGCTGTCCTGAGGACTAGAAGTTGGCTGCTGCAGGTGAACTTTGGCAAGTGTAGATTTTTTCACTTCCTTGATATCAAAGCTTTCTTCAGGACTTCTGTTTAGAAATTTACTGATATATGACCACAGTTTGCCACCTGTGAACAAGTATAACAAAACAAACAAAAGTATTAACATCTCCAAATTAACAGTTATTTATTTAAGCCATTAGAAAAGCAAAAGCTATCTTAAAAAATCAATCAGAACAAGTCAATAATACTCATTAATATCAAGTGTGCCATAAGATAAGCATATTTAATAAAATGCTTGTTATTGCTGAATGGTGAGTATGGTTTCAAGCGCATATCTCCTGATATCAACTTTTTTTAAGTGATAACCTATTTCTTCCTTTGAAGGGAAATTAGTTATAACACACACTAATATGAAATTTCACAGCTAAAATTCTACTCTAAAGTTAAATATCATTTAGTCTTAGAAGCATCTGTTTATGTTCTGCTCTGTTTATATAATAATTTTTTCAAGCATGGCCCCTGGGTCAGAAGGAAATATATAAATAAGTGCTGTTTAAATTGTATACTACAATGGGGGGAAAAAAATCAACAATATTATTATTCCATTTTGAAAATGTCTGGTCCAGGAATGGAGGAATTTGGCATGTGGCATATAATTATGCCTTTATAAATAACATATTAATAATATATTTCCCCTTTTATGCCCTGCCACATATGTAATATGTTGTATAAGTAAAGCTACTGAGGAAGATTAATTGGGCAACCATTAATGAAGCAAGTTATGGAAATTCTGACTGTGTATTCCGACATATATCTTTAAAACTAAAATCATAAAAATCACTTTCATGTAAATCAGAGAAATAAAAAAAAATCCAGTATTTTACCAGCAATACTTGTAGTTATTATTTCACCATAGTTTCATCTTATTTTAACCATTAAAATACCTCAATCCCTTTTGTCAATTATAATGTTTATGTTAAACAATTATAGCTAAGTATCAAAAACCTGCTATAACAGTAGTGACTAGGAACAGTATTATAAGAAAGAATAATTAATTAAATTTGATCCAGAAATCTCAAAAGCAGTAACTGCAGAAGTATACTTTGTGGAGACAGAATTGCAGTTGCAAAGAAATGAAAAATTAAGAATGATGTGTTAATGATAGGCTGGATTAAGCAAATGTGGCACATATACACCATGGAATATTATGCAGCCATAAAAAGGGATGAGTTCATGTCCTTTGTAGGGACATGGATGAAGCTGGAAACCATCATTCTGAGCAAACTATTGCAAGGACAGAAAACCAAACACTGCATGTTCTCACTCACAGGTGGGAACTGAACAATGAGAACACTTGGCCAAAGGGTAGGGAACATCACACACTGGGGCCTGTTGTAGGGTACGGGGAGGGGGGAGGGATAGCATTAGGAGATATACCTAATGTAAATGATCAGTTAATGTGTGCAACAGGCCAACATGGCACATGTATACATATGTAACAAACCTGCATGTTGTGCACATGTACCCTAGAACTTAAAGTATAATAAAAATAAATAAATAAAAATTAAAAAGAACGATGTGTTAAAAATAAATCCCTCTATTCATATAAAGAAGACAATTTTTCAGCACATATTTAGTGTAATCATTAAGCATCATATGCCAAGGGTACCTAAACCAGAAAATAATAATTGACAGTCAATTGCACGTGTAAAAAAGTCAATGGAAACATCAAAAATACCTCTTCCTACTTCACATTTCATTTCAAGAAATTCAATTAATACATATAGCACCTGACATGGTACCTAGCATAGAATAAATGCTCAATAAAGGCTAATGGTCATAACATTAATCATAGAATTCTCATACACCTCTTTGTAGCAGTGATCTAGTTAACCATCTTCCCTATTCTATTTATTTAACTTTTTTTTTTTTTTTTTTTTAAAGACAGAGTCTTACTCTGTAGCCCAGGCTGGAGTGCAGTGGCGGGATCTCAGCTCACTGAAGCCTCCAACTCCTAGGTTCAAGTTATCCTCCTGCTCAGTCACCCAATTAGCTGGGATTACAGGCATGCACCACCACAGTCAGCTAATTTTTGTGTCATCTTCCCCACTTTGATAACAGTTAGTGGTACAGGACATTATGGCATTTAACTTTTTCCTCTCATTTTTTTCTTAGCTAATGCTTTCTGTCCTCTTTAGAGTATATTCAGTGTTTCACATTTCCCCATATTTCAACTGAAGTTTAAAAGGAGCTATGCATTGAGTCTATATTCTTTAGTCTGTTGACAACAATACTCACATTGTCTTGCCACAAATACCTACATTGTGTCAGTCTAACAATGCTTGAACCTAAACCTAAGATTCCTGTGTGCAATCCAAATAAAATGACTTGGGTGGTTTTCAATTCTCCTAGATGATGACTACTTTGAGGAAAGGATCAAGTCTTTTTCATCTTTGTATGTCTACTGCCTACACAATGTGCACGACATAGAAGTCACTGCTTGTCAAATCAGATGATGAGATGTACCGTATAAGCAGTATCTGCATCTGTAAAGTTCCACTGATCAGCAAGGAACGGTACCTTTTAATAAAGTTCTAAGAAAAGCTCCATTCATTCTTAGGCCAATTCCACCTGAATAAACTACTGAAATCTAAAATCCAATGTACTTAAAGTCTTCATTTTTGGGGATAATGCTATAACTACAACTAGATCCTTACTTTAAGTCCCTCCTGTAGCATTCTACCCTACTAACTGCTGCCTAATTAATCTTCTATTTCAGCACAGATCTTATGCCATTTCTGCATTCAAGAAGTCAAATTCCCTCCACCTACTGAATCATGTACCAACTCTGCACAGGCATTTGAACTCCTGAGTAATACAGTTATCAACCCATGATTTGGTCCTCTCCCCCTACTCAACACAGAATTCATGATGGGCTTTTCCTCATACCACGCTTACACTTGGAATGTTTTTTTCCTAATAGTTTCCCCAGTATCTGCTTGTGAAAATCTTACCTATTCTTGAAGGTCCTTCAGAATCTGTTTTCTTTTACCAATTTCTTTGTATCCCTTAACTGGACGCAATATATATCTTCTCTGAATCCTCTATCATTCACCTTCATACCCTTTATGACATTTACAACATCATATTAATATTACTTTTATGCTTTTATTATCTCCTTTACGAGACTGAAAAGTCTTAATAGCTGCAGGCAGAGGATTCTATCCAGCTTGTAAAACAGGTATTAAATAAATATTTATTAAACTGAGTTATAGAAAGATAATATCTTTACAATTTTTTTGAAAACCTTTCAAGGAAAAGAATCTATAAGTAAGAAATCTATAAGGATCTATAAGTATAACGTCATTTTGGGGGTCATATGTTCTTCCAAAGACATATATTAACCTTAAAAAACAACCTGTTATTACTAAAGTGCCTAAAATTTGTCTAATTTTAGGACTATAAATGATACTTTTCTAAGTCTTTTTGAAGGACATAAAATTGTAGATATTGAACCATTTTAAGATGTAAAACTAAAAATTCATAATGTTTAATTAAAATTCTTTGTCTCTCCTCAGATTTTAAATCTATTGGTTTTCTATAAGATTGCAAAGTTTGTTTGTTAATTTGCTTGGTCAGAATTAGTACTTAAATTTCATATGTATGACAAAACACTGCTATCGCAGCAATCAAAATCATCTTTTGGCCAAGCAATTCAACGTGAAAAAAATCTGTCCTACATATAATTCTCAAAAAATACAACAAACAAAAACATGTATGTATAAATACATGTATTTATATTGAGTACTGGAAACAATGTAAACATCAATAACAGCCATTTGCAAATACATAGTGCTTACCATGTACCAGATACTATTCTAAGCCTTTTACATATACAACTATTTAATCCTCACATCAACCCTATAAGGTAGGTAATTAATATTATCTCTATTTTACAAATGAGGAAACTGAGGCACAGAAAGGTTAAATAACTTGCCCAAAGTCACACTAGTAATGGTGAGCCAGCATTTATATTCACACAGCATGGCTCCATAGTGCTTATTTTTAATCCCTATACTGTACTGCCTCTCTTAATACATACCTAAATAAACTGATATATTAAAGGCGTCCAAGGTACACTGTTAAGATGGGGGAAAAAATGCAAGCTCAAGGCAATATGTAACACCCATTTAAGTTTTTTAAAAACAGACAGGTAGGGAGAGAATGCTTATAAACATAGAAAGTTATTGGAAGATATATGATAACCGTTAAAAGAGCGCGTATTTCTGGGGAATAGGTCTAGGCAACAAAGTGAATAGGGAGGGATAACTTTTATTTTTACTTTATAAACTTCTATTTTGTTTGAATTTATTTTATAAATTAGTTTTATAATTTTAGAAAACTAATTAATAAAAGGAGAATCATTTTACTCCTTGGGGCCTTAAGTAACTTGGAGAGAAATTCTTTTCTACCTCCTTTCTATTTTGTATATCCACAGTCGGAGACTTTTGCAACTTCTGTCTTTTAATTTGGTCTGTCATCTTTTCTCTGACTGACCCAGTATTCAACAATCATACACTGAGTACCTTCTAAATACCAAGTATTTTACTAATTCATCATACAGATGATGAATATTACATAATCCCTAAGCTGAGAAACTTAAACTCTCATGGCCTTGACTGAATACATTCTGCTTTCTCACTTTTCTCTCTCAAATAGTTTAAGAAAGGGCTTTATTAAAAGGAATATTAAACATTTTAAACCTCTCTCCTAAAATCCTGCCTGATATATCCTAACGCTCTACTCAACATCACCTGAATATTTAGTAAGCATCTCAAATTCACATGTCCAAAATGGAATCCCTGATTTTCCTTCTAAATTTACTTCTCCCACAGCTTAGTAAATGGAAACTACATTATCTCAATTATTTGAGCCAAAAACTTTGAAATCACGTAAGACAGAATCATGCCCGTTCTACCTTCAAAATACATTCAGATTCTAATAACCATTCTTCACCACCTATGCCAGCAGTCCCCAATCTTTTTGGCACCAGGAACCAGTTTCATGGAAGACAATTTTTTCATGGACGGGGACAGGGATGGGGGTGAGGGTGGAAATTGTTTTGGGGTGAAACTGTTCCACCTCCGATCATTAGGCATTAGATTCTCCTAAGGACTGTACAGCCTAGATCCCTTGCATGTGCAGTTTACAACAGGGTTTGTGCTCCTATGAGAATCTAATGCCACTGCTGATCTGACAGGAGAAGGAATTCAGGCAGTAATGTTCACTTGTCCGCCACTCACCTCCAGGTACCTGTCTGTGGCTAGGGGACCCCTGACCTACACCACTAATGCCCTGTCCAAGCCATCAGCATTTTCACCTGGGGTACTGCAACAACTCCCAAATTGGTCTCCCTGCTTTTCCTTCTGCTCTCCTACATTCTGTTTTCCACCAAGCAGCAAATGATCCCTATCTCATCAATTCTTTGCTCAGCATGACCCAATAATGTCTTAGCTCATTTAGAATAAAAGTCCAGTTCTTAACGTGGCCTATAATGCTATACAGGATCTGCCTGCCTGCCTCCTCACTTCTCTAAGCATTCTTCCTACCGCTCTTTCTGTTCTGCCCCAGCCACACTGATCCTGCTGCTTCTTGAACACCAAGCACACCAATGCCTCTAAGCCTGTGGACCTACTTGTTTTCTCTTGCCAAGACATCCTTTCCTTACATATCTACAATGCTCCCTCTCTCGCTTCCTGAAGGTCTCTGGTCAAATGTCCCTTCTCAATAAGATGACCACCCTATATAAAAATAGCAAACCACCCCTTCTCATCCCTTTAGCATTCCCTTCCCCTTTCCTTTAGTTTTTCTCCATAGCATATTTACCTCCATCTGTCATATATTTACTTAAATATTTGTTTATTGTCTGTTCTGCCTCTATAATGTAATGTAATGTAAGCTCCATGCAGGCAAAGTCTTCTGTTTTGTTCACTGCCAAATTAGAACTATGCCTGTGTCCCAGCAAGCACTCAATACATTTCTAATGAAATGAATTAAAAACGGAAAGAAAGAGTCCAAGACACTCACATAAATCATGAGTAGTTCTGTAAGCAATGGAAAGCTAAATCTACAAATCATAAATATTCAAAGCATTCATGTTATGGAGAAAACAACTGTTCAAGGTTTGCTTTCTCAGTAATAACTATTCGCACATATGAAAAGTTACTTTTCTATGACACAGGCCAACTTCCTAATCTACGGAGGTGTCACTGATGTGTAAAAGAAAACACACTGTTCATCACCCAGTTCACTGCACTGCTCAAGCCGAATCTGAGAAATTACTGCAGATTTTCCTCTTCCTAATCTCAAATCCATCACAGGTCCCATTGACTCTCTCCTCAAACATCCTGACTGGTGCCCCAGAAGGCTAAGCCAGCAGCACCTTTTGACTAGCCTCCAGTATTAGCCTTTTTACTGCTTCTATTTTTACCTTTCTACAACACATTCCCCATACAAGAGCCAGTGACCTTTTTAAAATGTAAATCAGATTGTGTCACCCCTCAAGAAGTCCAGTGGTTTCCCAACGCACTTCAATAAAAGCCAAAGTCCTTACTCTGCTGTACAAGGCTCCTGTCTACTTCTCCAACAGCCTCATGTACCAACAAGTGCCTCACGTTGTCCTCGCTCTGCTCCATTCCAAGCAAATGATGCCTTTCTTGGTCATCAAACATCCCGTTTGTTTTTACACTCATCCCTGTACCTGTATCTTACATTCAAATGATTGTTTCTCTTGCCATTCAGAACTTCTCTTAAATGCCACCTTCTCAGAGAGGGCTCCCTCGACTACTTAATTCAACATAGTCCCCCAGTTGTTATCTGTTAGATCTCCCTCTGTTAAAGATCTGTATAGCTCCTGCCAGGCGCGGTGGCTCACGCCTGTAATCCCAGCACTTTGGGAGGCTAAGGCGGGCGGATCACAAGGTCAGGAGATCGAGACCACGGTGAAACCCCATCTCTACTAAAAATACAAAAAAAATTAGCCGGGCGCGGTGGCAGGCACCTGTAGTCCCAGCTACTCAGGAGTCTGAGGCAGCAGAATGGCATGATCCCAGGAGGCGGAGCTTGCAGTGAGCCGAGATGGCACCACTGCACTCCAGCCTGGGGGACAGAGCAAGATTCCGTCTCAAAAAAAAAAAAAAAAAAAAAAAGATCTGTATAGTTCCTTTTATTATCCAATGTTCTCTTGCTTTTTGTTTTTCTGTTTGACTTTTCACAACAAGAATTTAAGTTTCAGGCCTGGCGTGCTGGCTCACACCTGCAATCCCAGCATTTTGGGAGGCTGAGGCGGAAGAATCGCTTGAGGCCAGGAGTTTAAGACCAACTTGGGCAACACGGAGAGAGCCAATCTCTACAAAAACTATAAAAACTTAGCCAGGGATTACATGGTGTACGCATGTAATCCCAGCTGAGGCAGGAGATCACTTGAGCCCAAGAGTTCAAGGTTACAGTGAGCTATGATTGTACCATAGCACTCTAACCTAGGAAACACAGCAAGACCCTGACCACCCCCAACCAAAAAGTAAAAGAATGTTCTTGTCTTGTTCACCTAAAAAGGAGCCTACTATACAGTACATGCTCAATAAATTTATTGAATAGTTAATTAATCCAGAGTCTCTATTTGCATTGTAATTTACTATCTTTATATTATAAAACCATCTTAAAATTAAACAATAGACACCTAAAAGGAATGGTCAAAAGAGACAAATTTTATGGTCATGTGACCATTCAAAGTCAGGTATGGTCGATAGTGAAGAAGGATCTAAAATAGTAGAAAATTTAAAAGTCATAAGTCTATGACTTTAAAAGATTATAAAAATTTTCCACACTATTCAAGTAAAATCAATTGAAACATCAGCTTCAAGAGGTATAAGGGATAGTGAGAAGATGGTAGAAAAAAACTGAAAAATGATTTGGAGAAGGAAAAGGAAGAGGAAGAAGAGGAAGATACAGCTACAAATAACAGAGGTAAGCTAAGATTGAAAATTTTGCCATAGATAATCTCCAACATGAATAATCCACACTGGGTAATAGAATATTGACTATAATTACATTCATCCTACTGACCTTGTTCTAAATTATTATGGATTATTACTACGCAAGTTATTTTGTTCCACACCAGAGGTGGCTGTATTTCGCTATCAGATGACATGACCTCTAATTCAATAATGTCTGTAATGCACTGGTATCCTCAGATAAAAGCTGTCTATAATGTCTGAACAAAGGTGAATTAGTTATCCAATTCACACACACAATTAACTCTCTTAATACCTGAGAGACCATACAGCCCCTTCTGAATTTCCTATTAAATACTGCATATGGAGGTCTTCCCTCCATCTGTAGTTATCTTGTGCTGTACTTCACAATAAACAATATTGCTTACTGCCCCCATCAAAAATCTTGCATTCGTTAATCATATGAGACCTCATTCCAGAAAGCAATGACTTCTTTTCCTAAAAAATTGTATTAAATACAAATGTTATGCCTATTAGTAAAGTACGATAGTTATATAAAAATAATGGCTTCACGAAATATGGGAAACAATTAAAATTTTTTTACTATTTTACGAACACCTCTTAAAAGTCAAGTGGCAATATGTATTAAGTGAATTTATATTTATGTGTGTTTTCAGTCATCCTAAATAAAAAACTATTTATTTAAATTCAGGTATTAAAGGACAAAAAAAAAATCAAAACATAATATTTTTTGCCACCTGTTCCCTCTACAAAGAGCTGAAATTTCATAAATAGTTTGAAGGCAGAGAACTATGCCTCTGCTTTGTACCCATATGTGATGCCAATGGCTGTATTCATAAAAACTCAGATCAGAATAACTAGGTAACGTCAAATGTTAAGCAAACACCCTTGACTTCTAAAAGAAGGAGGTAATTAATTAATTCTTCAGGGGATGCTTTTCATTTTAGTCATCTAACATAATGTATCCTTTCAGCAGGGAACAAGCGAACAAAATATCACTAAAATAAAATCTAGCTCTCTTACCACACATTCACATTAAAGTTCTCATTATATTAGGTAAATTTCATGAGAAAGTAGTGAAGTAAATCTACAAATGGTACCATAGTTCACATGAAATCTGCTGTTCACCTGGGTTTTCATTTTCCCTCACAACTCAAAGTAGGGAGGTAGAGCAGAGAAATAGGAAATGGTTTCTTAAACATGTTTCATATATTCTATCTGCTCATGAAATGACAGAGAGAAACTGGAAGCTAAGTAGGTGACATTCTTCACTGCATAAACAATCCAAACTACAAACCAACCTTCCGCATGCTGCAGCACAAGAAATACTGACTCCTCAGAGATGATGTACTTATGCAGACACACCATGTTGGGCACACAGCGGGGGATGATGGTCTTTCTGTTCCTGCTGTATTCACTGCTTTTCCTTAGACCCTGACAGAGAACAAAAAGGTCAGTTGTATCCTCAGTTGCCTTTGGAGCCTGCTGTGCTCTGTGTTTATCAACCAAACTAATCTATCCGAGTTACTCTGGGCTTCAGAGAAACCACTCATCTGCTGCTCTATGCCCCCCAGTCCCTGGAGGCTCTGCTGATGGCATCTGGCGTGAATCCAGAGAAGGAAGATGCCACAAAGCTGCCATTAAAATCAATTACGTGGGTCAGTGTTTTTATTAGAGATGCTCTCAAACTAAGTCATCAGGATGACACACAGTTATTTCTCTGTGACCTTTTCTTAAGCTTTATTTTACTTATCTATATCTTTAAAGCAGTAGACATTTTAAGACCAATGCAAACTCCTGAGACATAAAAGATATTCTTAGATTAAGCAGGCAATTTTAAAATCCCATCCCCTAGAAGTGCAAACAATGTTAAGTCTTCTTACAAGGAATAAGGTTTGTCTATTTTCTGGTGTCATACTCTGTTTTTAAAAACTGGGGAAATGTCAATGATAATGTATATTCACACACTCACACACACACACACACACACGTGTTTCAGTATGTGTCAATGTGACCTACTGCCATGCCTTATCAGCAAAAGAAAAAGCATCAGAAAAAGAAATATAAAATTAATAAATTCATCTTCTGAATGCTGTGAAAATGCTTACATTAGGATATTTTCAGAATATGTACTAGCACAGTCCATTCCAAACACAATTTCAAAATTTCAAAATTGAGGGTTCTTTCTCTCCTGATTTAGTTATAAATTACATTATGTATAGAATCAAAATTGAATTTAGATCAAAAAGAGGACCAGGAATGTAGATAATGCTTTCCCAAAATACCTGTAACAAGACTTTAAGGCAAAATTTTAGCTCTTAAGAACTGTAGTGATAATCGAAGGTGAGACTGTGTGTAGTCTTCTCGATTATAAAAAATGTTCTTGAGATGTATTTACACACTACACATTCAAACAACACGAAATGGTTCTTCAATTTATCCAAATTATTTCCTCCATACTCTGTATCAAAAAAAAAATTGTTAAATGCATGCTATCAACCATGATGGAAGGATAGAAAAAAAAAAAGGTAAATAAATATCACCAGAAACAACATTAAAGGACATTCAAAACCTAGGGGGGAAATATTAACTACTTAGTTAGCATTAACTAAATACTAACTAAAATATTTTCTTTCAGAAGCATAATTTGAAATTAAAATTTTAAATTCATTAAACATACAAATTTTACTTACTCTTTTTTTATTTGAAACAGGGTCTCACTCTTGTTGCCCAGGCTGGAGTGCAATGGTGCACTCTTGGTTCACTGCAATCTCTGCCTCCTGGGTTCAAGCGATTCTCCCGCCTAAGCCTCCCGAGTAGCTGGGATTATAGGCGCCCATCATTACACCCGGCTAATTTTTGTATTTTTAGTACAGACGGGGTTTCACCATGTTAGCCAGGATGGTCTCGAACTCCTGACCTTAGGTGATCTGCCTACCTCAGCCTCCCAAAGTGCTGGGATTATAGGCACCACACCTGGCTACAAATTTTACTTACTTTTAAAATGAAAGTCTGTTCTGTCCTTGTGTCCATTACAAGTAAAACCTACATAAAAGACATGAGTAATAATTTATTAACAATACAATGAAACATTAACTCTTAGCTTTAAACTAAACTTTAAGAGTGGGGCAGGGCTGAAATTTAATCCCCTCCCCAAAATTGTTCATTTCTGAATAATTTTTTTAAGTTGGCAAATTATAGAATCAAAATAACCTTATCCAAAATAGGTTTTATTATGGTTTCCTTTTCTAAAAATGACATATTTTAGAAACATTCCTGTTTCCTAAAGTATTTTAAAATGTATTTCTTAGAAGTAAAAGACATATTATTTTAAACAGAGTTTTCCCTCTTGGAACATATATGATCAACAGGAAGTGGTTCAAAAAAATTGTTCAAGTCTCAATTTTTTTCCTAAAATCTCCTATGTAGCAACTTGCTATAATGTGATCTCAATAACTCAGGCTCTAGCCTAAGGCATCCTTTTGGTACCACTTCACCCTGGATTCACCTTAACACCTCTTTCCACCAAATCCTATCAGCTCTGTCTTCAAAATGTATCCTGAATCTGAACTCACCTTACCATTTCCACAGTTAATACTCTGATTCAAGCAAAGACCAACTCTTACCTAACTTGTAACTACGGTGTCCCAACTGACCTCCCGGCTACCATCTGTGCTGCCCTGTGGTCTATCCTCAAAGCAGCAGCCAGGGTTTTCTTTTTAAAACATAAGTTAGAACATGGCACTCTTCTTATCTCACTGAGAGAAAAAGCTTAAGCCCATAAAATGACCTCAAGACCCTTCATAACCTCTCACACATTGCCCGCTTAAACTACTCATTCCCACCCCTCATCTTGATGGATAAAATAAATTAACAGAAGTATGAAATCATCCCACCCTATGAAGGCTTTATTATTTTGGAAATACTACAATAGCAAAGATTGGTAAACTTTTTCTTTAAAGGGCCAGACTGTAAATATTTGGGGCTCTGCAGGCCTATGCAGTCTCTGTTACAGCTTTTCAACTTTGTCATTATACAACAAAAGCAGCCGCAGACTGAAATTGGCCATGGGAGGAGGATTTGTACTACAGAAATCAGCAAACACTGCAAATGAGCCTCTTCACCCTACCAGAGAGCTGTCAAATATCTACCAGCCCACCACTGGATAAGGAGAGACAGAAATTAAGGATGGAAAAAAAGATGTTAAGCTTGAAAAAAATAAAGAATTTTTAAAAGGTGAGAAGAAACAGAAAGGTGAGATGGGAAACCAGTTTGAGAAGATGGAAAATTCCATTTTAGATAATCAAGTTGAAAAAATAGTGACAACTTCATCTTTGTCTTCTGAGTGTCTGACCTACACTACTTAAATTTCCATTAATTTCAATACAGTATTCTCACAGGTACCTCATATCCTCTTCCCAAGGCCCTGCCTTCACCAAACAAACACACAAACAGCCTGCTTCTCCTCCTATAGTACTAAGTAAGACCATCTTCCATGCATGCTCTGAAACAGTGGTCTAAGTTACTGTGAACTCTCTCCTGTCTCCCACCTTCGGAACAAGTGACTGATCCAGTATTCAACAATTACACACTGATCACCTTCTAAATACCAAGTATTTAGAATCAATTCTAAACCAATCAAATCAATTCTACCTCCTAAGCACTTCTCTTATCCACCCTCTATTCTCTAATCTGCCATATTTTAAGCATTTACTATGTGCTATACTTTACCCATGTGTAATCCATATTAATCCTCCCAACAACTCAATGATTTATTTTGTTTTATTTTATTTTCATTGAGACTGGGTCTCACTCTGCTACCCACGCTAGAGTGCCGTGGTGTGATTTTAGCTCACTGCAGCCTCAACCTCCCAGGTTCAAACGATCCTCCCACTTCAGTCTCCCAAGTAGCTGGTTCTACAGGCATGTGCCACAATGCCTGGATGAATCTTTTTTTTTTTCTTTTTTTTCGTAAGACAGGGGTCTCACTGTATTGCCTAGGCTTGTGTTGAACTCCTGGGCTCAAGTGATCCACCTGCCTTGGCCTCTCAAAGTGCTGAGATTACAGGGATAAGCCACCAGGTCTGGCCCAGTGAAATAATTTTACCATCCTCTTCTACATTAAAAGACATTACAGACATGTCTTCTTGTGGACATAGACATTCTTGTTATGTAGAAGCTATAAAGGTCGGTAACAGTATCTAACAAATGTGAGGATTTCAGTAAGATAATCTTATAAAAGTACAGCCAGTTGCTATTACTGCTATCACTATTATTGCTTCTTTTTCCCTGAAATGTTCCCCCAGCCACTTATCAAACAAGTATGCATCTTTCCATACGCAGCACAAATGTCACTCTATCTCTCAGTAACACTGACTACTGTCTTCCTTTCTTCTGCTGTTTTACACAGCACCAACATCTATTATAGCATCTCTAACCCTTCAATTTGGGGGTCTGTCTCCCAATGAGACTTCAAGCTCTTTATGGGCATGTGGTAAGGCAGGATAATGGGCCCCAAAGATGTTCATACCCTAAGAATCCCCAGCATTTGTGAACGTGCTACGTTACTGGCAAAAAGGCCTTTGCAGATATAATTAAGGTAGGGACCTTAAAACAGAGAGATTACACTGGATTATCTGGGTAGGTTCCAAAATATCATATGAATCCATTTCAAAAACAGAGAACTATCTTCTACAAAAAGAAATGCAAAGCACAGAAATGATATGGCTGAAAGGAAAATCACATTCAAAACATGAAAGGGATGCATGGCTGCTGGCTCTCAGGTGCAAAGGCCCACATGTAAGAACTGAAGAGAGGCTTCTAGGATCTCATAGCAAGCCTAAGAAGGAACCCAGGCAACTTCTAGAAGTACAGAGCAGTCCTTGGCTGACAGCCAGCAAAGAAACAGAGTTCAGTCCTACAACTCTACGGAAAGAAGATAATTCAGTCAACAACCTGAATGAGCTTGGAAGCAGATTCCTCTCCTGAGCCTCCAGTAAGGAATATAGCCTTGCCAGCACGTTGATTTCAAACCAGCAACTGTGTTAGACTTCTGACCTATAGAACTTTAATAATTTAGTTGTTATACACTGCCAACTTTGTGGTAATTTGTTATGACAGCAATAGAAAACCAATAGCATAAAAATTATTCTATCACAGAATACACTGTTCTCACACAGTGAATGTTTAATAAACATATGGTTAGTGAATTCAAGTCTAAAAGTTTGTAAGGTAGATGACGACATGGGAATAGAGCTTAGAAAATAAGTCGGTACTAATGATTTATATTTGAGCATTCTCCATAAAGATAAAAACTAAAGACACGAGAATGATCCCACTGGAACACTTCCTTTATTTCAGGCACTGTGCTGGGCTTTAAGGAATTAAATCATGTAACTCTCTCAACAATCCAAAGAGGTAGGTATCTTTTATTAATCAAGTTTGCAGATAAGGAAATAAACACAAAACGGTACCTCTCTGGAGTGCACTCTGAAACACTGGAACTTCTTTAACCTCAGGACTTTGTCCATACTCACAAAGATAATAAGTGGTAGAGGGTAGTCTGGCTCCAGGTTTCTTTCTCTTTAACTGCTAAGCTATACTATTTATTTCTGAATTTTGAAAATATACATAGTTGAAATATTGTGAGTAAATATGACAATAACCAAAAGTGTAGTGAGAAAAGTACAAAGAGAAAACACAGTGGTTCAGATGACAGAGAAAGAGGATGCTTAAGATGAGTGTGATCTATGCCAAACAACAGGGAGAAGCCACGAAGAATGAGGACTGAGAAACCATCACTGGTTAAGGCAGTTAGGAAGTCATATGTAACTTTCAATACAGCATTGTACAGCGAACTGCTGAGGATAAAAGCCAGATTGCACGGAGTTAATAATGAGTGATAAGAAAATAGAGGTGACATATATAAGCCTTTCAATAGTAAAATATGTCAGAAGAAGGAAAAACACTAAAACGAAATAGTGGGATCATCAGTTGAAACAAAGGGTTTGACTTTTATTATTTTTCAGATGGGATAGACTTATTCTTTCCATAGCTGCCCTTTGAGTTATAATCAACACAAATCTTGAGCCTCCAAAATATGAAAACACATCTGTGAACTTTAAGAGTTAAATCAACATACCAAGAATGTAAAAGGAGGCACCATGGCCCTCTTTCTGCAAAGGAGAGCTCAATAAACATATTTTGAACATCTGTTGAATCTGTGAAGACATTTAGTGTTTCTTCAGTCTCATTTGTTTTTATATGAGGTGTGACTTTTTTTTTTTTTGAGATGGAGTCTTGCTCTGTTGCCCAGACTGAAGTGCAGTGGGACGATCTTGGCTCACTGCAAGCTCCGCGTCTCAGATTCATGCCATTCTCCTGCCCCAGCTTCCCGAGTAGCTCGGACTACAGGTGCCCGCCACCACGCCTGGCTAATTTTTTGTATTTTTAGTAGAGACGGGGTTTCACCGTGTTAGCCAGGATGGTCTCGATCTCCTGACCTTGTGAACCGCCTGCCTTGGCCTCCCAAAGTGCTGGGATTACAGGCGTGAGCCATCGCGCCCAGCCTATATAAGGTGCGACTGTTAAGTCACTTACCAGAAAGCCAATTCTATTTGAACAAGACACATCTATATGAAGTAGAACACATCTCACCAGGTAAAAGGCATGGAAGCTGTACAATCAAAGAAAAGAACTTCTCCCTATAAAAAGCCTCTTAATTGACTCAACAAAATATACCTGCATAAATCAGGAGTGATACCTCTTTACTCATCTCACTTAGCCATGAAGCATGAAGCAGATCAGATAAAAAGGTCAAACTGGCTGGGCGCAGTGGCTCATGCCTGTAATCCCAGCACTTTGGGAGGCCAAGGTGGATGGATCACCTGAGGTCAGGAGTTCAAGACCAGCCATGGCCAACATGGTGAAACCTCGTCTCTACTAAAAATACAAAAATTAGCCGGGCATGGTGGTGGGCACCTGTAATCCCAGCTCCTCGGGAGGGTGAGGCATGAGAATCGCTTGAATCAGGAGGCAGAGGCTGC